AATTGATGCTTTTGAACTGTGGTGTTGGAGAAGACTCTTGAGAGTCCCTTGGACTGCAAGGAGATCCAACCAGTCCATCCTAAAGGAGATCAGTCCTGGGTGTTCATTGGAAGGACTGACGCTGAAGCTGAAACTCCAATACTTTGGCCACCTCATGCAAAGAGCTGACTCATTTGAAAAGACCCTGAAGCTGGGACAGATTGAAGGCAGGAGGAGAAGGGGATGACAAAGGATGAGATGGTTGGATGGCATCACTGACTCAATGGACATGAGTTTGAGTAAACTCCAGGAGTTGGTGATGGATAGGGAGGCCTGGGGTGCTGCAGTCCATGGGTTTTGAAGAGTCAGACAGGACTTAGTGACTGAACTGAACTGACCAGACCCAGTCCCATAATATACATTCGAAGATATCAGAATTAGTCAGAAGGTTTTCAGGATGGAGAAATGGCCCTCAAGCAGGATGCATTGTTGTTATATAATCCCCAGTGCAGAGTTTAAACTGAGTTGTTTGTTGTGTAATCATCAGTTTTGGATTTAAAGAAAAAAAAACATTTTATGTGATTAACACTAAGGAATGTATAGAAAAAAGAAAAAAAAATTATCTCCTCCTCTGGGACCCTGGACTTCTTATCAACCTGCCTAGGAATTGACTGTCTCATTACCTTTAGATCAGAAGTGTTTTTATGAGGACAGGTCACTGGATGCTACCATGTCCATAGGGCCTTTATTCTTCTTTATGTTTAGAATATGATCATGGAAGCTTAGGGCTAGGAAAGATAAGGATGATAATTTTATGTAGTGCCCTCATTTTTCCATGGAGAAAGAGTAAAGGACTTGATCCACTTCCTCCTCTGGGAACTCACAGAACTGGGAGTCTGACATGACTTCCTGTCTCCATTCAACCAGTATTCTTTAGATTGCATCATAACTTCTCACTATAACACACATTTGATGTATTTGCTGTAGTTTATCTTAAAAGTATTTAAAATTATTTATACAGTTAAAGACAATGTCCTATTCCTTAATTGTGTTATTTATATATATGTTTATATTTCAGTCCAAAGGCTTTTTAATAATGTATGAAAGCCTTAGGTTTCAGATTGGCAATGGATTTTAACTCACATCAATTTAATTAAAATCTGAAGTAGATAAATCTTGTTAAGTGTCTCCGCTTTGTAACATTTTGCTATAAAGCAAATCATGACAAATCTCTCTAGGAGAAGCTGTGCAAGTCCTGCAATAAATAGCTTCGGTTTTATCTGCATAGAGAACTCCATTTTGTGATATGTACAGATTTGATCTAACCTACCAAAGTAAACACTGGAAGCCGGCACTTCCAATAATACTGTGAAGAGTGCTATCCTAGAAGCATATAAATATGTCGGAAATTCTCTGATTCTATGCTTGTGTTAGTATTTTAACTTGGACAGCATAATTAACTTTTGTTTTAGAGATAAAAATCTCTAATGTTAGTTTGCAACTGTTTAAAAGTCAATTCACGTTAAATACAATTTCCGTCACAAAGTCTTTATTAATATCTCCTAGCTGAAAATAATCTCTATTGTTTTTGTTTCTCTTTAATTCTGTCTCTTCTAAGCAGTATTAATTTCCAATTTTATTATGTAAATATACATAACAGCAAAGCTTCACGTTCATCTTTGTAAACTGAGAACAATACAGAAGTAACTTGAACACTGAAAAATATTTGTTAAAATGTTATTTGATGAATGTACATGGCATTATGTATTTTTGGCAATCTAAATTTACAGACATAAAAATAGCACCCAGTTGGTAACTGAATGCAGGATTTATGTCATAATATCCCTCAATGTATTGATGACTGACTTCAATGATTTAAGTATCTGAGAAAACCTTTTTTTTTCTTTTTCATTTGAAAAAAGGAATGCCAAGTCTTTTTCTTATCTTGTGACAGTATCAAGAAGTTGATGCTTTTATAACAATTGAGTAAAGTGGGGAAGAATCCTATGAACTTGCATCACTAAAGCTGTTTGTGCTGGTGATTAGCTACACTTATACCTTTTCTCTGTATGTTTATAGCCTTAGTATCTGATTCACTGCTAACCACTGATCTATCTCACTGTTTTCGCCATGTGAATCGATAGCTTAGGGAGAGATCAATACCAGGTTCATAAAATCACATGAGAATCAACCCAATTTCATGATGTAATTATGCACCTAAGTTAATTACTTAGGCCTGCATTTTGTGTGATGTTAATTTCATTACTGAAAAAGATACTGAGTTAACCTGTGCATTTAAGTTTTAGATACAGCAGGTAATTGCAAGCTGGCAGTGAAGCAGGAAAAGGGCATGACACTCACCTTCATCAATTATGGTTTGATTGATTGAGTTAGAAGTCAAGATGGCTCAGTTCTTCACCTTTACCCGCTAATGCTATTTTCTGGGCTAACTGCAAGGAGGCAAAGTTTCACAATGTACAAACGATCTCCAATGCTACATGCACTGCTCCTCATCTTGAAATGTTTATCCTAGAAGCTATTCTACTTGTTGTTCTGAGTGACTGGAAATTCCTTTTCATGTTTCTTTTGCTTATTTATTATGTAGATAATTATAACCTGTAAATAGGAACATGAAGTACAAGAACACGGTTTGATCATTTTCTTGAAACTACATTAATACAAATGAGCAAATAAAATGGGATTTTTCAATTATGTATAAAATGGCACAGGCTTGAATAACTTCTTCTCTCAATGAAGCATTTATTAAGGGTTAGTAATTTAAAAGAGCTTGGAAGTATTGACCTCTGCAAAAAGTTTAGGGAGGATGGATTATCAAGACACATGCTCTGTATCTTTCTCTTCTTGAGCCTAGATTGAAGGAATTGTGATCAGAAAAAAATCTTCCCATTTTCCCAAAAATTCCTGCTTGGGGGAATTTGACGTTTTGGACGTCATAACTCATCCAACAGTGATTAGCACAGTTATAAACAGCTCTGCTAAAGAAAGAACTGCCAGTTGAAAAGCAGGATCCACAACTGTTTGCTGGGCTGTTTCCCAGCCCTATACAAGTTAGTTCTCAAGTGTCATTTTTAATGCCCTGTTAATTAGGAGTACTGCAGCCAATATACCTACTAAGTAGCTTATGGTTTCCGCTACCAACCAATGTTGTATCTTTGCTAATCCATAATCCTGGTGGGGTATGTTAGCATCTTTATCTTAAGCAGTTTCTGCTGTTCAGTTCTCTCTACCATTTAAAGATTTTTCTTTCATTAGTCAAACTCTCAATTATACTTTTATTTATTATATTAAATATTTCTTCCTGGGTAAGTTTGGACAAGAGCTAGCATTACATCAAGAGTGAGCAAACAATCTCTCCCACCTCCAATGACTCATATAAAACTTCATAATTTTCGGTTTACTCTTTTCCTAACCTTCTAATGTCAGAGTTTCACACATACGTACACTTGCTCTTTCCTTTCTCAATAGCATTGGTTATGCATTCTTATTCACTACTTCCATCAATTTTTTTTTACTTTTATAATATGGCAGGCATAACTGTCAGGATACAAAGTAGGTTATACCTAAGCACCTACTTCTAAGAATTCTCTCATAACCACGCAATTTCCTTTTTATAGTCTTTCCGATTATGAACAGAGGCTTTTCTCCAATATGGCACCCATCAGGCCTCACTATGATCACCATTATATGTGGTTGCCAGGTATGTGGATTGGGGATTCAACTTACTCCTTGGTGGCTCAGACGGTAAAGCGTCTGCCTGCAATGCTGGAGACCCAGGTTTAATCCCTGGGTCGGGAATATCCCCTGGAGAAGGAAATGGCAACCCACTCCAGTACTCTTGCCTGGAAAATTCCATGGATGGAGGAACCCCGTTCAATGGAATTGCAAAGAGTTGGACACGACTGAGCGACTTTACTTTACAATGCCTCAGTTGTCATACCATCTACTCTATGATGTAGGGAGAATTATTTTATATCTCTATTCATAAACATTCCTTAAAATAAATATTATAGTAGTGCTTATTTGATAGGGCTGTAGTAAGGATTTAATGACATGATGCTTGCAAGTGAAAGTCGCTCAGTCATGTCTGACTGTTTGCAACCCCATGGACTATATAGCCTCCAGGCCAAAATACTGGAGTTGGGTAGCCTTTCCCTTCTCCAGGGGATCTTCCTGATCCAGGAATTGAACCAGGGTCTCCTGCATTGCAGGTGGATTCTTTACCAACTGGGCGATCAGGGAAGCCCTGATACATGCAAAACTCTCTCTCTCTCTCTCTCTCAATTTTTGATACTTGCAAAACTCAACACAATACTTAGCATATTATAAATGCTTAATGGAGTTTCTGTGTGTGTGTGTGTGTGTGTGTGTATGAAAGAGAGAGAGAGAGAGGGAGAGAAAGAGAGAGTGTGGTGCTTTAAAACATTTGAATCTAAATGAACGAAATAGTTTTCTGGACAAAGGATAATCTGATGGCTGTTAGATAATTTGGTGAGTGCTTGAATTTTGATATTTTAGTTTGTGCCTTTTTGTGTGAGTTAATCACTCATAAATATCACAAAATTTAATATAGTTGTTAACATGAAAGTGATTGACCTTTATATTAATAACCATATTATAAAATGTTGAATACAATTTTCAAAAAGTATGTGAAACGACACTGGGCAGCAGTTATTTCTAGAAATCTTGGATTTTATTTTAAGACACATGTAAACAATGAAAAAGAAAGTTTAAGATAATGGCATATACTTTTCTATGAAACGACTGAGTTCAAATGCTATTTACTTACAGAAATTTTAAAATATAAAAGTCCAAACTTTTGAAGAGAATGTCTAAAATAGAAGCTTCACTATCGTGAGTCATTACTCTCTTTTTCTCTCTCAGGAATACACAATAGATATAATTTTCGCCCAAACCTGGTTTGATAGCCGTCTAAAATTCAACAGTACCATGAAAGTACTCATGCTGAACAGTAACATGGTTGGGAAACTCTGGATCCCTGACACCTTCTTCAGAAACTCAAGAAAGTCTGATGCTCATTGGATAACAACTCCCAACCGTCTTCTTAGAATATGGAACGATGGGCGGGTTCTATATACTCTAAGGTATTACTGTTTAAACAAAAAAAAGAACTTATGGTTGCTCTAATTCAGTTTCCATATTTGAAACTCATAGATTTCCCTTTTTCCAAGTTGAAAATAAGTATGAAGCTTCTTTTATACACTAAAATTTAAAAAGGTGACATTTTGTGGAAACACTTGTTTAAGCTTGCTGTTACCAGGATGTGAATAGGACTGAAAGCAAAGAGGAAAAACTTCTTGATTTCCTCGTTTTGAAGCAGAAAAGGTTGTGGCATAAACACTATATTTTTAAACCTATAAGGCAAACGATTGACAAAGATTTTCTTTAGGAGTCCACCCTACTATAACACTTTAAAATACTCTGATTTTCAGTGGTGTAGTAAAACATCCCTAACAGAGGATTCAATGAGGGTTCATAGGTAAGAGTCAGGTTTATTTAATTCATTGTCTTGAACATATTGGCTCATTATAAATCATCCCCTTAATGGAAAGGTGTTTATGATCCAAAGAAAAAAAATTACCATACTTAACTGGATACACTCTGTTAATCTGCCTGTGTATGTGCGCCTGTGTGTTTGTTGAGATTCTAAAGTATAAAATTTTAATCACAAACACAGAAACCACACTTGGACTAATTGAGGCAAGTTAGGTGGCTGGAGAGAAAAATGTCAGAATTTTATTAATCATTTATGAATGTTATTACTACTTAAGATTTTGAGACTTCAGAATTATTATTATTTTATATTGTATCACAGTCCATTATTGTAGGACAAAATTATGTTTTAAAATTAAAGAAAATATTTTTAATGCCTGAAATTATTTCTTATTATTTAATATTTATTTTTCCATCTAAATAGACTGACAATTAATGCAGAATGTTACCTTCAGCTTCATAACTTTCCTATGGATGAACATTCATGTCCATTGGAATTTTCAAGTTGTAAGTAATAAAATGTTTGATATTTTCATAGAACTTTATGGCCTATGATCCTTTTTATTTAAAAATGTAAAATGATGTGAGATAAACCATGATTTATACAATTATCAGAAGTTTAAATTATGTTTAACTGTCTTAGATAAATTTATAAATAACATTTATTTCTTACTTTAAAAAGTGATAATAAATGCATACTGAATATATATATATATTTTATTATTTACAAATACTCATTCTATCTGTATTCTTTTCCTATTTTGATTAACTAAAGGACTACTGAAGATAGATTTGTATTCAAATATTTTTACACTGCCATGAATAAAAAATTGATTGAAATTTTATTCATCTTCCAGGAGGTCAGATTTAAGTTTATTACATTATATTTTAAAATATATTTAATTGGTCTGGTGAAGAATTTTACCACATAAATAGCAAATATTTAAGAAGACATTAATGTGTTGGAAAAGTCAAGGAAGAAATAAGTTTATTTCATTCAAAAGAATGAATGAAACAAAGAGAAATTACTAAAGAGAAATAATTTAGGTATACAAACTGAATGTTGCAAGGAAATAGCTATAATCTTTCTATACCAATATCAGTTTTATTTTATATTTATTAACATGTATTCCCACATGTGTTTTTATAAAAATATTTTTCTACATAATATATAATTGAGCAAGTCTTTAAAACACATAAAATGCCTTTAAAAATGATATTGCCTATGTATATGAATGATATAATTCTATTTTCCTATTTTAAAATTGATTTTTTAAGATATTTTCTGGAATTTATTTACAGTTGATTATAAGTATTCATAAGTCTTTATCCTGCTTCTTCACTTTAAACATTCCCATGTATCTCTTGTTGCCCTTTGCTAAGGATTTTGTTGACTTTTAAAATTTTCATCTCACTAAAATGTCCTTTTTAATTCATAATCTCATGTCTCATTACTTTGATTTTCTAGCATTGACCTCTCAATGAATAAAACAGTCAATTAACAACAAAGACTTGGTTAATAGGAACATTCAAGGAGTAGCTGATGCACAAATATTTGAAGACATACCGTATTCTCCTCTAGATATCATGCCTAAATTCTTGGTGTGGCATCTCTTTAGCTTTGATTGTCTTTACTGGGAATATTCTATCTCTGTTAGTGCAATTGGGTGTCACTAACATCAACATAATAATTATAACCATCTTTTTTTCACACACTTTATATGAGTCCAATAGAGAATTAAGCCTTCTCCATCTAATATTTCACAATAAATATAATTAGAAGATGTCACTATAGTTCCCATTTTAAGACTCAAAATCATGAAATTTAGAGTGGTTAAGTAACTAGCTCACTGTCTTATTTGACTAAGGTCTAAATCAGCATACCTGAGTGAATTAACTCCTTGAGAGGATTTAATCATAAGCCCACCCAACATGGATTTTCCCAAATTTCCTTAACTTGGTCCAAAATACCTTTGTGTATTTCTCGGATGTGTAGCAAAAATAAAAGCATGTGTTTTTTAAAAGAATGCACTTACATTCTAGACAGCCATAGGGAAGGTAGATGTTTTCAACACAAATAACTAACAGAGGTCTAGTATCCAGAATATATGTAAGAATTCAGACCAAGAAAAGATGGGGGGGAACAGTAAAATAATGGGCAATTGAATAAGCAATGATCCAAAAAAGAAACTAAAAAATCTAATAACCACGTGAAATTTGTTTTAGATTTTATTCATATTCAGAAAAAAAAAATACACTCTACAGTGAGAATAAAGAAGCCTGTCCACATAAACTTTAATGAGAACATGGATCAACATGCATTTTCAAACTATGGCTGGTGAAAGATGAGATTAATATATTCTCTATGGAAAAGAGATTGACACTATCTCATAAAGTGGGAAGTATATGTAATCCACAACCCAGCTATTTCATGTCTAAGTATTTATACCAGAGAGACTTTTGCATATATGTGTTTTGTGAGACATGTACAATAATATTGTAAACTGCAGTGTTAGTAATAGCCAACAGGAAAGATTACAAGTGTGGACACAGTAAAATGGATGAATAAATTTTGGCACGTCTTTACAACAGAACAAATTTACTACTGCTACATAAAATAGCGTGAATGATTATTATAAATACTATATTAAAAGAAATAAGATGTAAAATAATGCATCCAGCATGGCAAAAATCAAGCAGAGTTCAAAAAGAATGTAAACTATATTTTTCAGAACTGCCTATCAAAAATATATATAACCAAAATCATAAGGGGAGGATTATCACGTAAATCAGGTCAGTAGTTACCTCTGGATGAGAGGGGGAACACTACATTGGAGTGGATGCATGGTTTTCTTAGATGCTAGTAAGATTTTATTTCTTGATTTAAATGTAATTAGCATGGACTATCATTATTTAATCACTAGGATTATTCTTTATATTCTACTCACCAATTTTATGCAGTGTTTTTCTATATTAACCCATAAAAACGAGAAAGAATTTCCAGACATTTGTCTTTTGATAATGCTGGTGTTGCAACAATAACAGATTCGGATCTGCTGATGTATATATTTTTAATTTTAATTTTTACCTAGATGGATACCCTAAAAATGAAATTGAGTATAAGTGGAAAAAGCCTTCTGTAGAAGTGGCTGATCCTAAATACTGGAGATTATATCAGTTTGCATTTGTAGGATTACGGAACACAACTGAAATCTCTCACACAATCTCTGGTAAGAAAGGAACACAAATCAATGACTAATGCTAGCATCAAGTGGCATTTGTATTTTAATCTGTGGCTTGAAATCCTATACTTACTTGTATTTTATAGCCAAAGTATTTTTTTTTCTTCCAGGGGACTATATTATCATGACAATTTTCTTTGACCTGAGCAGACGAATGGGATATTTCACTATTCAGACATACATTCCATGTATTCTGACTGTTGTCCTTTCTTGGGTATCTTTTTGGATCAATAAAGATGCAGTACCTGCAAGAACATCACTGGGTATGATGTAATATTATGCTATAGTGTCATACAACTTTCAATGTGCTAAAAGTTTATAGTTTAATGTATTAAAAATATTCCTCTAACTACAGTCAGACAAAAGTGGACAGATACTCTAGTGCAGTGTGATGTTGAAGAGAATACATGTAAACAAGTAGGAAATAGAATTGTAAAGAGATGGAAATCTCAGAAATGTTTTTAATAGAGGTCAAGGGAAGCATAAAAGCTAAATAAGAATGAATGCATGAAAATCATACATAATCCATGCATCTTAAATGTGGTCAGTATTGTCAACACTTTTCATCAAGACTATTTTCTAGCTGAGTCACTAATTGGCAGTATTTATTGACTAGAGTGTATTTAGAAGGCTTTGAAATCCTCTGTTCTTACAATGGTACTGATGAAGAGTCAACTGCTCCAAAGGACAGGGACAAGAAGTTTCTGGGCTTCTGTTCTCCATAAAATGTGTTGTTATTTTGTAAACTTTTGAGAGTTGCCTGTATAATAACATTGATTAAAAGAGTAATTTGTAATTCATACTTGATAAAAGAAACTTTTCCTTTCTTTCTTTGGCAATCTGTTGCAATAATCAGTGTAATCAGTAATTAGGCCTAAGAAAATGTGTCTATTACACATTTGTTTAAAAGAAAATGATAACCTAAACTCTTGTATAGATATACAAAGATAAATTATTGATTACTTCCCCACATCAGTATAGTACATGAATCTCACTACTGATAATTGTGTCTTAAAAACATAAAAAAAAGTTGGGACAGTTTCTATTTTCAAAAGTAAAGAGGTTTTCGTGTAGTTCTATTGCAGCTAGTAAATAACTCCATTTAGTAAATAGTAAAAAAAAATATAAAATTCAAATCACATAAAACTAGCAAGATAAAACAGGAAGTATCTAGTTCTGTACTCGGAACTGAAGCTCCCGGAGAGTCTAAAGACAGGTATAGATACAGCTGGGGACAATGCATTCATGTCTGAATGTTGTTTCTATAAATATTTCAAATTATTGTATGTTCCAAGGTAAATAAATTACTTCTGGTTCTTTTTGTATGCTACTCTGAGTATTCTTGTCTGGAAAATCCCGTGGACAGAGGATCCTATTGTGCTATAGTCCATAGGATCTCAAAGAGTTGGGACATGACATCAACTAAACAACAAAAATAGAGTATAATAAATATTGTACGTTGTTTTTAAACAGCATTTTCGTATTTTCCCAAAGATCATCTGGATGGATTTTTTTATACCTTAAGGTTTCTACAAAGCCAAAAGCCTATGCCATAATGTCAAAGAGAATAGATAATTGTGGAGTTATATTCTTACATGAATTCATATTTTATAATGTTACCACATCAACTGTTAACTTAGCCATAGTCAGGTCTACTTAGAAAATATCTGTTAAAATGGGGACTCCTGTGTGGTTGGAGGAGCAGAGACTTTAAAATTCTGTATGTATGCATGCACATACCCGTCTGTGAAGGACAGTGTCCTCAGCTCGTGTATTTAGCGCTGCATTTTAGCAAACGTTTTCCAACTGCTTCAGTGGTCTAGGTGCTGCAGTGTTAACAGTGGACATACGTTGTGAAGTGATAATGTTCATGTTAAAACAGGAAACATTTATGTCTTAGCGGGGTGTACAGGTGATGTACATATGTACAGAGCATAATAAAATGTCAGTGAGTAATAATGGCTATGAAGAAAAATCAAAGTAAATGACTAGAGAATGGCAAGGTGTGTGGGTGGATACTAACTTGCCATGTTATCTTGTGGAGTCAGACTAGTCCTCTCTGAGGAGGTGGCAGAGACCTACGGAAGTCTCTGTTGGATATCTGGTATTCTAAATGTTTTCTTAATTTCATGAACTCAGAGATATTTTCATAGGAAATCCACCATATTATTTTAAGCTAAAGTCTGTGATAATAAATACTACATAAAACAGATAAATGTCTAAAAGCTAAGTTCTGCTGTATTTTTCCTTACTTCATGAAATAGATATGTAATAGTATTTTAGTCAAGTGAAATTTAATTTCATCATTGATAATTAAATCAGTCTACTTGGAATGGGACATAATAATGGAAGAAAGGGATACCTTGGGAAATCTACCTTTGACCACAGGAATGTTATTATTTAATAAATTACAAAAAATAGTGCACTAAGCAAGGAAGAGAGAAGAATGGTAGTCACTGAGATTATTTCACACTTACTATATTAATTAGGTTAAAAATTTTGGGTTAAAAATAATTGAAGCAAAAACTGTCAGGAATAATGAGAGAAATATAAAAATCTACAATAATAGTTGGACATTTTAATACTATGAAAATGAAAATCTTTTTCATTTACAGAATAACTACATGGAAAAATCAATTAAGATGTATCAAATTTAAATGAAATTATCAACCTACTTTACCTGATTGATATTTATAAAGCATTGTACCTAACTACAGATTATACAACATGTTCAAATGCATAGAAAATATTAACCAAGGTATCAACAACATTCAAAAGACTAAAATTTTCCAGAATGTATTTTCTGACCAAAATGAAAGTAAATGAAAAATTAATAAAAATTTTATAGGTTAATAATGGCCTCATTTATTTGGAATTTTTTAAAATGATCTTTTAGATAACCCCTGAGTTAAAAATTAATCAAAAGGGAAATTAGAAAACATTTCAAACTGAATTTTAGTAAGAAATTAGCATATAAATATTTGCAAAATGCAGCTAAAGCCTTGCTTAGAGGGTGAAATTATAGATTTAAAATCTAGTATTAAAAGGGAAAAAAGATTTTACATCTACTTTAAACCCAAATGAAATAAATACATTTTTTATAAATATATTAAACAAAATATATTACATTTCTGTGTCAATTTTTTAGTTGAGAGGCACAGATGAGTTAAGATAATTCCCCCTAAGGTCACAGAGTTAATAGGTGGGAATGTCAGAATTTGAACTTAACTTGTTTCCATAACTTCCAATCCATCATAACTGTATCATGCTTAACTTTTTTCAATCCTAAGTGATGACAAAAATAAAAAAAAGGGCATATGAAAGGAATTACTATTAAGGTGTGTTTTAATGTAGACATGAAGGGAAAAGTTGGCTATTAACTTCATCATACAAAAGGGGTGCTATTATTTTCAACCCAGATACTGCCAATCTGTAAATAATTGGCCAAATTAAGATTCATCTGGCATTATATTTAGGACTTCCTGGAGAGAAAACAATTCCCCTAATGGTGCTCTATCTCATGACACGAAGAATGAGAATTAAGGCAGTTTAGATAAGGAGAGAGAGAGCATGTGTGTCTATAAGGTGGGCTGAAATGAGCAGTGCTAAGAACCACAAGAAGGCCATGGATAAAGAGAAATAGCCAGTCTCAAAGATCCATATACAGGGCTTGGGTCCAGGGGGACATCCTTATTTTATATGTTGACTTCTTCAAAATATGATTTACTCTTGTCTTTCTAAAATAGTCACTCGGTATCATTTTGCCTGTATTTACTGAGACTAGAAAATAGGTTTAATACAAGCTATAAAAAAGTTATGGCAGTTTGGATTAATTTTAACTGTGTCTGACAGGAAACCTTAGATCACTGGAGATTAAATTAGACAGAGGCCTAACGTGGCTTCTGATGGTCTGGCCATCATATTCCAGCAGAAATCAATTGAGAAAGAGGAAAAGAAAGGCATTTCCTATCTCTCTAATGTCTAAGGACATCTTTTGGTCCTTGTTTACACCCTTGACTTGATTCTTCTTGGCTACATTTCAGCCTGTGGCCACACATAATTAAAGGAAGCTGGCAGATAAACGTACTTCCAGGCAGGCACAGGCCAGCTAAACATTGGGTAGCCTATTATTCCGGAAGAAGGCAAGGACAGGTGTGGGGGGTTACCTACGTGCAGTCCAGAGAATTCACATGATTAAAAGTCATGCAAATAACACACCAAACACAATGTAGCTCTGGTCGCCAGATTTCTTCCCTGTAAATCGTGAGTGATCATATTCTTTTGCTTCCATTGTTTATTTATGCGAACAATATTGCCATATCAAGTGGAAGAATAAAAGTGGTCTAAGATCATTTTCGTCATCTGTTTTTCTTCCCTCCTTTCACAGGTATCACCACAGTGCTGACTATGACAACTCTGAGTACAATTGCCAGGAAGTCCTTACCCAAGGTTTCCTACGTGACTGCGATGGATCTCTTTGTTTCTGTCTGTTTCATTTTTGTTTTTGCAGCTTTGATGGAGTATGGCACCTTGCATTATTTTACCAGCAACAAAAAAATTAAGACTGCTAGAGAAAAAAAGCCAAAAATCAAGACCTCGGTATGTTTAAAAAAAAAAAATTATCTCTATAAACAACAACTTACTGTTGGAGATATTCTTTTGCGTTCTCATGTTATATTTTCTTAGACTGATATAGATGCTAGAGGTACCCTGACAAAAGATAAAAAATACTAAAATGAAACTGAGTATGTAATATTTCCCACTAGCAGAAATATACTTATATTTTTTCCCTAGAAAGTACTTTTGAATCACCTCTGCAACGAATGGTTACTATGCTGTGAAGTTTTCCACAAGTAGTAAATTCTTTGCCCTAGAAAACTCATTTAAACTCTCTCTTTGAATCTATTTTTGTGATAGGATTTTAATTTCTAATATGGTTGTCCCACAAACCTAATTTTTAGAGATTAGTATCCCTCTTTAATGTTGGTATCCAACTGTGTTTGAAAGGCGCAGATTTCTATATCATAGAAAAGATATCTGTTTGGTTTCTGTACAGATAAAGTTGTACTCTCTTACCCCCCCTTCCTAAGCATATGTCTACCTTGACTTATAAAACATCAAGTTGGTAAATTAGAATTAATTCTACTGACTCTAAAATACTTAAGTATTGGATGCCTAACTATTATTTCTTTTTGTAATGGCATTATAACAACCTTAAAGTAATACTTATAGTAATTAACAACCTTAAAGTAATACTTTTACTGAGTGTGCCAGAAACTCCTCTATTTTACATGCATGATTTCATTTATGCTCACAGGCATCTAATAAATACTTTGCACAAGGACAGCCTTAGAAAGTGAAGAATCCAAGACTCAAACCCAGGTTTTTTTTGGTGCCAGAGGTCAGGCTTGTAACCCTTCCTTTATGTTGTCTGTTCTTAAAAGATTCTGAAAAATAAGATACTTCATTGCTAATTTCACTAAATGTTTTCCAAGCAGATTTGTTCCATAATAACAATATGCTTGAAAACTGTATAAAACAGTTATCCATGAGTGGCAAGCTTGTAAACTTACCATGCGTGCATGCGTGCTAAGTTGCTTCAGTGGTGTCTGCCTCTTTGCAACCCGATGGACTGTAGCCAGCCAGGCTCCTCTGTCCGTAGGACTCTCCAGGCAAGAATACTAGAGTGGGGATCTTCCTCCAGGGGATCTTCCTGACCCAGGGCTTGAACCCGAGTCTCTTGTGTCTCCTGCATTGGGGGGTGGGTTCTTTACCACTAGCAACACCTGGGAAGCCCGAACCTACCATGGCAGATACGTAATGAAGCATGGGATTTTTCAGGTTATGTGCTAAATTTGTAAGTTCTAAGATATAATGCTTTTTCTCCTGTCCCTCATTTTTCATCAGTTTGTTTATATAATTTTGCCATACTTTAAAATTATATTTTACCTTTTATGTTGTACTCCAAGGACCAAAGCCTTATGTATTTGCTTCTAGATTCCCACAATATTCCTAGGAAGAAAACACATTGTTGGTGGTACATGTTTCAGAACTTCCGTGGTAGAATTAGCCTGTGATTCTCCCAAGTTGATATAATTTTAGCTTATTAATAAGACTTACTATGGTCTCTGAATGGGCAAAGCATCAGGAAGCAATTTCAAGTTTAATACCCATTTGCTATTTTTTTAAGTAAAGAAAAACAGGGGTTTTCTACTTTCTACCTTTAATCCAAGCCAAGCATCCTCTCTGGATTTTCCATTTTATCATTTACTCATCCACAGCTGTGCTCAGTTACTACCTTGACAATTTTATTTCTGAACATTGTGAATGAAAATGTTTAAAATAAAAATAATTGACATTATAGGCTAACCGTGTACAGTCTCACATGGATTCTAGAATTTCATTCTAAGAATATGTGATATAGATACTAATATTGTCTAAGGCTACCGTAGGACTACAGATAATCAGTTTGACTCCAGGTCATGTGCTTTCGACCACATTACCGATACCTCACTCAGGAAGCTGAAACACTGGAGTGCAAGCTTTCAAATTATGATGTTCATGTAATCGTTCATTCATCTAATATTTATTAAGGACACCCAGGTTCTAGGTATTGTTCTAGAATAGTTATTTAAGAAAAAAATTGTCTATATGTTGACTATTTACAATATATCAGCAAGCCATAGAAGCAAAATACTAAAGCTGAAAAATTAAGGAATAAAAAATAGATGAGTGCTTGAAAGCACTAAATTATAAATATCAAAAAGTTAAACATGTAATTGACTACCTAGAAAAGAAAAACATTTAGAGTCATCTAAAATAAAATTCTATAGTGTCTTCTTTCTGTTCAGTTACATGCTTCATCAGCTCTTTCAATACTAGATGACACTTTGAGTGAAAAACTGGATCACTAATCAAAGCCGACTCCCTGCCTCTCTCAGTGTTCAGCCATATGGGCTCGCTAATCAGGTGAATCAGAACAGCCTTCTATGAAGAATAGATAGCTCTGTTTGCTGTTGTCTCAAAATGTTCTATTTCAGGGTTTTGTGGAATCCGTGTTTTCTTCTGTTCCAGCCAGGAGAATCAAATGCAAGCCTAGACCCAGAAATCTTGCGGCACATTGCCTTTCCCCCGTTTCAATAGTTTGTGACTTTATCTTCCCCTCTTATTCTCTGTGTCTCTGTTCTGCCATCTCTATTTTATTTTATAGGCCCCACATTGTGACTAGTTTAAAACCAAGCATTTCCTTTCCTTCACCAGATTATTTATGGCGATGGGCCAGGACCAAAGATCTTGCCTGGAGTCTTTGAAAGGTCAGCGTGTCTAGTTTTAAATGATACTCAAGGCCATTCTTGAGATCTCTTTGACTGCTTAGCTGAGAATCCCTGAAAAGTTCAATTTGTTTTACTTAGGAAGAGAGGATGCATGCATACATACGAGGTTGCTTCGGTTGTGTCTGACTCTTTGCAACCCTATGCACTGTGGCCGTTCAGGCCCCTCTGTCCATGGATTGTTTAGGCAAGAACACTAGAGTGGGCTGCCATGCCCTCCTCCAGGAGAAAGAGATGATACTTGAACACAATAGATTTTTAGCTTTAGTGACCCCTCTAAGAAAAATATAAGTTAATAAAAATGCTTTCTACATTATTCTCCATATGATGTTATATAATGGACCTCTTCTCTCTTTCTCTTACTTCATCCCCCCTTCCTTCTATCTTTTCATCCTTCCTTTCTTCCTTCTGTCATTTTCTTATGTCCGTATTTCTTTATTTCTTTCTTCTTTATTTTTATTGTGAATGTCAGTGCCATTTTGACTTGGCCTTTATTACCCTAGTTGAGAAAAGAAGAGATGTACTCAAAAGAACATTTGAAAGAACATTTGAGAGAAGGAACCACATAATCCAGGTTGAGGTTTACATATAAGGATAAAAAGTAGACTGGCGTAGTTCTCAAGCTGTTTGTCTAATACAATAACCACCAGCTAGGTTGATTTAAACTAACGAAAATCAACCAAAATTTTAAAATTTATATCTTAGTAGCAGTGGTCACATTTCAAGTGCTTATTAGCCACATGTAGAGACTTCTCCTGGACATGCTGGTTTCAAAATAGTGATCTTAGGAAAGAAATTAAACCAAGTTGAGGATAGAAAAGTAATTTCTTGCCAAGATGTTGAAGTCTCAGCACAATGTTAAGAAATTTAGATTTTGCCTTGTCAGCACTGATAAGCTATGAATGTTTTCAAGGAAGATGGCATATTTGTTTCTATATTTTCAAAAGACAATTACAAGTAGCATGGAATACTTTTGAATTACAAAAGAAGCAAGGAAATAAAGGCTATTGCCAAAGTTCAAGATGTAATAGATTACTGAGGATGGAACTAGAATATGAGAGTGAAAATAAAGTGTGAAAGGTATTTTTGTGTGTGTGTATTTGTTTTGGACGCAGTACCCAACCCACAGCCCATTCTTCAGCTAATACATATCATATCTTTGTGAATAAGCGATCTTCTACCTTTTAGAGCACAAAAATTATGAAAAGTTGTATCAGTACAGTTCCATGAATTATAAACTTTCTTTCCTATAATGGTATTTGGCAACGCTTCCAGGAATGATTATTTGATATTGGTGAAATGTGAAATACAGTAAGAGGCTTACCTGTGCATGGTTGAAGCAAATGGACGAATCAAACCATGTATAAATGCACAGGTGGAAACACAGTTCCCTGCTTGGCAGCCTTGGTCCCAACCCCCAGAAGCAGGCTTATTTGTTTGTTTTCTAGCTTTCTGTTTCTTACTTTCCTCTGATAATTATTTCCATTAACTCCTATATTCTTGAAGTACCAAGATTGACAACTCAGAATGACGAAAATCTACCTCATGTCTATTTTAACACTAATATAGTTTCAGAATATTTGAAATTTTGACTGATAATTAACTAATTATTCTCATGTATAACTTTTTGATGAAAACTTAATAATAGTGATACTAGTCAATATTTCATAATATCAATAACATGACCTAATAATGTCTGCAATGTCTGCTAATTGCTAATACTTAATATTATTAATGGCAGTAGTAAATGATCTAAATAGTTAAGTATTGGCCTTGGTGCTTAAAATATATTTTGTATTAACTATATGATTAATCTATAAGTAATAAAGTATCTAGTATATAACCAGATACATATGTATCTTTAATAGAATGGGATTGATTTCTCAAAATGTTAAGTTCAGCTATATTCTTAGTGATTTTTTTGAAATGACAAAAAGATGGTATATTCTCAAAACTACATCATTTGAAGTAAAAGAAAATTGTATTCAATTGTTGTTTTCTTTATATTATTTAAACAGATCTATTTTATTTTCTCAATGTTTGTTATTTGGGGGGGACATCAGGATCTTTATTTGAGAAAGTATAAGGTAGGCTATGCAGTTGTACCTCAGATAAATAGTTTATAATGTTTATATTTTTCCAATTAATATTTCAATGGTTCCAGATTACAAATCTGTATGTCACAAATATTTTATTTTACTGATACTGTATCAACTCTTTAGCTATTTTTCTCAGCACATACAAAGTTCACTTCAAGTCACGTACATCATTCAATGAAGTATAGTTTCAATTTATGATTAGTGGCATTTTGAGGGAGAGAGCAGGAAACTAGAAAACCATCAATCCAAAGTGTCACTGCAATAGACGTTCTCCATGATTTTGGCCACCAGGGGTTGGTTCATATTTTAAGTGAAGCATTCGCAGTTTTCCTCCATTTTTGTGCACTTTAATGTTTGATCATCCTTCTCATGCAAAATTGATATCTTCCAACACACTGTCTCCATTTATGGCAGTTATGAGTGATTATGTCTTATAGCCTTGAAATTGCATACGAACAATCTTATATTTTAATCGCTTTCACTCTGATTAACATTGAAACATATGCTATTTAAGTATCAAGTGATAAGAAAATTAATACCAATTTGTCTTATTTTTGTACATAAGTTAGTGCTCCACTAAAATTTAGGAGTCAAGTATCCCCAAGTGACAATCTCAGAAGATCATCATTAACATATAATAATATATTGCCTCTGTTTTTCATGATACGTGTGCACAAGTTCAGTCACAAATTTATTTGTTTTTAGGGCATTGTTTATCTTTGGGTTCAATAATTTGTTTCTAATATGGATAGTATAACTTGTGTAATGGATTTATCTTTTTAAAACATCACTAAATGTGATTATTTGCTTTTTGATCTACTGAATGTTTAATATTTAGTGGTTCAGAGTCTATGTTTATTTTAGAAATAAAGTGGGTTTGAATATAGGTCCAAATGTTTTTAAATTCTCATTTTTGTGCTTAATTTTCTAAATCTTTCTCATACAGTGTTTAATTTTCATAGCTTTGAGATTTATTTCAGAATTTAGGATGAAAAATTTTTATAAACATTTTCATTAGAATTTAAAATCAGGATAAAACAATTGTTATAATCTTGGCATTGTATTCAGTGTTTACAAAATAAAACCACTGATTATACTATATTGTGAGATTCATATCTAGAATAACCCCTGAAATATGTGGATGTCCGGAAGAATAAGGGTTACTAAAGACAGCAATTTTCATTCATAATTTACTTTCAATTTTATTTAAGTATTCATTAATGCAATTCTTCCCCAGCCATGGGGAGGATTGGAATGAGACAAATTTTGGTAGAATGAGCAAAATTTTGAATATCAGTTGTTTCCAAGCTTTTTAACAATCTTCCAAGTTTTTAACTCCTGCACATTCTCCCAAACACAATGCTTTGTGCTTATCCACAACTCCAGACCTCAAATAGTTTTTATTCTTTACACCTTCTCAAAATGTTCTGCTTTATCAAAATCAGGTAGTAACAATCTTTAACCACTTTCACTCTAATTAACGTGGGAACATATGCTATTTAAGTATTAAGTGATAAGAAAATTAATACCAACTTGACAATCTTTATTATTTGTTCTCATTATGACTAAAATACAGTACAGAATATAGCTATAGCAAACCAAGAGATGTTTATAGTATTGTAAGTATTTTACTGTAAATATTATAGAAAAATATAGTTTATCCTCATTTTAGAATTAGATTCATGGTCAACAATAATTTAGTAGATCATCTTTTTAAACATATAAAAAGTATATTTCGTTTTTAGTGTCTTTTTCCTTCAAAATCTTTGGAATATAAAATAATATTTTTAAATGCTACAAAGTAAATTATAGCCTAAAAAAGATGTTAGGATTGAATACTTGATTTTTGAAAAATAACATTATTTTTTACTGCATATCACTCTTATAGTTTGCCTTGAAGGGACAAATTGATCTTTTTTATGCTATTTTTTTCTCAACATTCATTTATTATCTTACTCAGATGTCCTCTGGACTCCATCCTGGATCTACTCTGATTCCAATGAATAGCCTTTCTCTGCCGCAAGGAGAAGATGATTATGGCTACCAGTGTTTGGAGGGCAAAGATTGTGCCAGCTTCTTCTGTTGCTTTGAAGACTGCAGAACAGGATCGTGGAGGGAAGGGAGGATACACATACGCATTGCCAAAATTGATTCCTATTCTCGAATATTTTTCCCAACAGCTTTTGCCCTGTTCAATCTGGTTTATTGGGTTGGCTATCTTTACTTATAAATTCTACTTACTGGGAAAAATGAAAAAGAAGTCTGACTAAATCCAATATAATCTACTGTCCTTCAATAGCATGAAGTTTGAATTCAAAATGCAGAGAAACCAATGGTTTAAATGTGAATAGTTATTTTACCTATTTTATGGCTTTCATAGGTAAATAAAGTAGCAGCTTTCAGATTAATGTACTTTATATAAAACAAGTTATTGCAAAATTCAGCCTATTAAAATAGTATTGTATATTTGTACTTTAATTTTCTTTATTTTTACATATATCCTATTAGGAGTTTGAATTTATGAGTTCTGTGATTCATATTTTAAAGATGGAATAATTTATTACAAATTTTATTTAAATTCAGCCAATCATTTGTAATGGTAACGTAATCTAATGCCTAATAATATGTAATCTTTTTTTACCTAGAAAATATTGTTAATTTGTTTTATTTTTTTTTGCTTTTTATTTTTATGTTTTGTTTGGGATAGAACTAGTTGAAAACATTAAACCATGATTTCATTGGGTTGATCTCTAAGAAGCTTTACACCTCCAAACAAATTAATTTTTAAATTTTTATTTTTTAACGAAGAAAGGCCAGTTTTTAGCTTACCTTTAATCTAGTTCATTTCCTGATGAAATATTTAGGTTTGGTGGCTTGCAAACTAGGATGGAAACTATCAAAGATACTTAAATACAAGGTGAAAAGAAATGAAAAATATTACATTTAACCATTTTATTCTCTGTCTCATAGCGTTTATGAAGAACAAAGAGATTAATACTGAAATGTTTAGATCTACCAACCTTGAAATTAAATGACTTTTTCTTAATCTTCTGCAAAAGTATCATATCCCTAAAATTAACAACAACAGGAAACATTGAGGAACAGGGCTTGTATTTACTCCTGTGGCTAAAGAATATCATCCAGCAAATTGATTTGAAATTCAATTTGAGCATATTGTCTTAGGTACATGCTATTAACATTTTTCAGACCAGTGATATTCTGGAAAGTTTCAGGCCTCTGTTGTATATTGTCTTTTCCAGTTCCTAATTTCAGCTTGGTCAGCTTTATGAGTTTGTTATAAATTATAATGACATTCTCTTTTTTCAGAAAATGTGAGCAGGCACAGAAACTATATTAAAGGTGAAATTCTGTTAGAGGTACCTCTAATGAAAATGAGTGTATGGAACGCTCTCAATTCTGAGAGACAGGAACAAAAATAATCTTACTATAGTTTAGCCCCTGTTGATTAATAGTTTCCAAATGTCTGTTTTGTTAAGAGGCAAGTTAAAGTCAGGCTTTAATTATTGTATTGCTGTAACTAGTTTGGCATATCAATTATTTATAAGAACTCCCTGTTCATTCACCATCACCTGATGATTTGGAAAATCACCAGGGTGATCTTGAGGGTAGCCTTTAAACATTGTTTCCATGGTCAACAGCAACTACCAGGACAGGGTTTTAAGATCCTGACCCACTCAGGTGGAGGAAGCTACCCCTTGTGCACGTGACCCCATGTGGTTAGTGAATCCATGAATGTGCTCTGGCGTGGTTATACTTGGGCTTTTAGAATATATAGGGGTTATTTTAGTCTCGTATATTTCATTTTGTATCAACAGCCTACATCTGAATTTCTTCACTTTGCTTATAAATCTTGGGGAAACGTAACCATGAATTAAGTGATATTGCCCAAATATCCACCGACACTGCTTTTTTTGAATGGAGAGCCAGATTAGACTTTGGCCATGTATATATTCACTTACAAAGCGCTCATGCTTTCATGTTTATAACATTGCATATTGACAGATATTCTTAAGGTAAACATTCATTTAAAGAGAAATGAAAAGTGAAGTACCAATGAAGAATAAGTCATTTCACTAAAATGTATCATGGATATTTCCACGTTTTAAACTCTAGCCTGCTCATTATCATGGGGGCAGTTTTAATTCTGGTATTCTTTCTAGTCTATCTGAGCATGACCATACTTCAAAATTCTTAAAAATTAATATGAACAACTTTGCTTTTCTCACTGTGTTCCATTAACTCGACTTTACTGTTAACAGTTTTCACATTGTGAATAAATGAACATAAATATGATGATAAAAATTAGATAAAAATATGACAGATGGTTGTCTACATACATTCATTGTATATATCATCAAGACATGTGATTTATTTTCAAAGCCAGTGATATTCTGAGCAGTTCTATTTAAATATGCAAATCAGAAAGGGAAGTGTGTACAAATTTTATTCTTTCTAAAAATGAGAATGAAAAGAAGATGCAATTAGATTATTTTTTACAAGAAATCAAGTAGCTCTTACTATAAAAGGAAATGCAGTCTAATCCCTGTTTCTCTTTTCTTTCAAGTATTAGTTTTATTATTTTAGGGAAGAATTCTTAAAAAAAAATTCCTCCTTTTATCCAGGTGAGTTACATCTTGATTTTATTGGATTCACTGGCACTTGTGTTTTCTGACTATTTAAATATACACTGAATAACATACACCACAAGAAAAAAAAATAGATATAGAAAGGATAATTGGACCAGAGGGACTTAAAATAATTTGGAGAAGTGTTAATTCACATAGCACTATCCTCTAAATATGTTACCAGGATCTAGAAGTATTGAAAAGGAAAATTGTGACTGGTATTTTATTCTCTTGGATTTATGATTGCATGAAAATATTTTATCTATTTTGAATTGCATAGATAGACTCAATTGAAATCAAATTTCTAAAATGTCAAGTCATTTCTGGAAAAAAAAAAAGAAAAGCTTAGATTTTCTGAGAATTCCATAGGGAAAGGGCATAATTCAAGAGTAAATCCAATTAAATAGAAGGTGTTAATGTAATAAGAAATTAGACAATTCATTGGATACATTATATTTTAAAGATATAGATTTCATTAAGGAGTTTTTAAAACTTATTAACTTTAGGTTAAAGTACAATAAATATGGGCTTCCCTGGTGGCTTAGATGGTAAAGAATCTGCCTGCAATGAGGTAGACTCAGGTTCATTCACCATTGCAGGCAGGGATTGGGAAGATCCCCTGGAGAAGGGAACAGCTTCAGTATTTCAGTATACTGAAATATACTGAACCCACTTCAGTGTTCTTGCCTGGAGTATTCCATGGACGTAGGAAACTGGCAGCCTATGGTCGATGGGGTCAAAGAGTCGGACACGACTGAGCGACTAACATTTCACTTTTCACAATAAATGTGGGTAAATATAGAAACAACCCCCAGGGTTTTTCTCCCCCTTTAGTGTGTTCCCATATTCTGATATTAAATTTAATCATAAGATATCTTATATAGTGTGTTGTGAAGAAAGGCATCACGTACTTTGATTATACAAGAGATTTAGATAAGATGATATGTTTGAGTTTAAAATTTAAACTATTTACCAATAATTGAATAAATGCATAATAAACAAACACATGTATAAAGTCATCGGTTTATTTTTTTGTTGCTCAGTCATTCAGTCATGTCTGACTCTTCAAGACCCCATCACCTGGAGCCCACCAGGCTCCTCTGTCCACGGGGTTTTCCAGGCAAGAACACTGGAGTAGGTTGTCATTTCTTCCTCCAGGGAATCTGTCTGATTCAGGGACTGTACCTGTGCCCCTGTGTCTTCTGCATAGGCAGGCAGACTCTTTACCACTGGACCACCTGGGAAGTCCCCAAAGTTTTACACCAGTGCCTATTTTCACTCTTGAAAAATTCAGCAAGATACCACATTTGCAATTACAATATTTCATTGATCTTAGCTCTGGAGTTTAAGTGAAGTGGCTCCATAGACAGTGATTTAGCATTTGTCCCAAGAATAGCATTTTGAAAATAATTTCTGACCAAGCTATTTGTCTTTACATCGTCAAATTTACGTAACTCCCTTTGTCACACCAAACAAGTCCAGACTTACTTGCTATTGTTTCTATCGGTCATCACGGTTTTTGCTGCTGGAGCCCTTAACAAAGCATAGTAAAGTCACGGAAACCACTCCCAGCCCTCTAACAAAATTTTCTAAATGGAGTGTCCAGACACTATTGACCACACTGCTCTAGTCAATTTAAGGTCAGGTCCGCTCTTCTTGTGTGTGCATTTTGAAAATAACCTAACTTAAGTCAAATATTTATGCAGCACTTCCTATGTATAAGGTAATGAGGTACAAGAGGGAATGTAAAAAATGAACTTTCCATAGGAAAATTATCATATAATCAGAAGATTAGTTATACAGTTTAAGAGAGGGAAGGTAACTCTGAGAAAGTTTCTTGGAGAATATGTGCTTAGACATGGGAGCTTGAGAATTCAGTATGTCAATAGGTGAGGTTAATAGAGACCATGTTTTCCAGTTGAGTAAACAGCTTGAAAAAAGAAACAGAATCAAATGAAAGTTTGCTTTTATTTGGGTACAAATAAAAGTTCATTTTAACTGAAGGTTAAAATTCATACAGGAACAAGCAAAGATGAGGCTAGATAGGTAGGTCTAGCCCCATGATAGGCAAGAATACAAATTTCAGAGGGCTGGGTGATACAAGACTGGTGTGCTGCAGTCTTATGGGGTTGCAGAAAGTCAGACATGACTGAGCTACTGAACTGACCTAGGTGATACCAATTCTTGAAGAGTTTATGACGTTAGGTGAATACAGAAGCATCATTATTCATATCACAAAAGTTTCATCCTACTGGTGTGTGTGTGTGATGTTTAGAATAAGAAAAACCAGTTAGGAAGCTTCTACTATAATACATGGAAGGAGAGAGAATGAAGGTCAGTATGCTGGGAATAGAAGTTCAGTGGAGTAGGGGGAAAGATAGATCCTGAAATAAAAGGAAAAAATGGCAAACAAGAAGCTGTGATTAATACACAATATTAACTAAGTGACATGCTGTGTGTAAGAAAGGGCATCCTACATTGCATAGTAGGTATGCGAGTGTAAACACACTAAATTATTACAAGGTAATTTCAGATGTATTATGATCTTGTTGTTACTTGTAACATTTTAATCAAATGCTTATTTTCCCTACTGATCTAAGGTTTTCCCACATTAGGGATGACAAAAAAGAATAATCTCCTGAAATATAATCTGTCCAGGTTGTTATTATTTTGTAAAAATCTGTTTCCTCACTGAAAAGGGCTTTCTCTTCAAGTAACTTTCTCTTCTTTCTTTCTAACTAAGGAAAAACACTATATTTGGACAAAGAGAGGAAGGGAAGAGAAGTGTGAACAGAAATAGGCTGCTGAGTGCCCAGACAAATGCAGGAAGTTGATTTCTGATTCTCAAACAATTTCTGAAATATTTGTCTCAAAGTAAATTATTGTTGGACAATGGAATGTATCTGGTACCTTTGAATCTGTGTGAATAGTTCAGATGAGCCTGTGATAGCTATATTGCAGTTAAGCTGAAAAGAGTTACTAATTAAAAGGCTTTTAAGATATAGATGATCTAAATATAAATGGTTTGGATCTTGATAAGCTACTGTGACGACAGTTATTTGTGTCCACACGTAGTCACTTTGTATAATAAAATCTTATGGCTTGTGATTGCAGCGGCTTCTGTTATCAGCTTCTGACTTGTCGTTTTGGGGAGCATCCTGCGAGTGTGTGGCAAAAGTATCTCAGTTTATCTGTCTTCTGTCCTTTAATGATTCTAAGTGCAAATGAATGCAGTAACTTATTATGAAATAAAAAGTTACATTCTCTTAGAATGTGCCTGTTTTGTAATTTTCTTACAGATAGGTCACTTTTTTGGTTCTGCATATGTAATCATGATTTTAGCATAGCAGTTAATTTCTGATAATGTTATTTCACATTTTTTTCTCCAATTAAGGAAGTAAATTTAAGAGTTTCTCTTTGACACAGAGATCTGAAAATAAATTAAGCTAAATGAACTAAAAGTTTAGGCAAAGATAGTTAATGTTTATGCGTGATTCTCACTGCAAAGACAATGAAAGATTATTTTAACAACCTGTAATTTCATCTTTATCAGAATAGCCAGATAGTATTCCTTACATGAATCAATGAGAACAATATATATTAGCTAGGATTAATACCCGAGCCATTCCAAATACCCTGCTATAAAAATGTATTATTTCATGTGCAGAAACAGCTAGTAAAGGGAAATTCTCTACCACTAAAATACAGTACTTTAAAAAAAAGGAGGGGGTGTGATTTTTCCTTAAAGTCCAATGCTGTTTTCATAAAAAACTGAATAAGATGTGGGAGGTTTTAGCGTTTTTTGAGAACTTGCCATGTATCTAGAACTTTAAGTGCATTATATATGAATAGCCTAGTCTTCAAGGTAAAGAGCTATATGTAACAGATGGAAAAATTGAGGATCAATATGTTAAATGCATTCTCTAAGCTCACACACCTAAAGAAACATATGTACCTTAAGTTGTACAGATGCTTCTCTTTCAGTTACAAGGAACTAATCTGATGACAACATAATTGTTCATATTTCAACAGTAGAACAAGATTCCTTTCCAAAACAGGCATTTAGACTTAAAAAAAAAAAAAAAAGCCTACTCATTTGTGTTTGAGGCACAGAAATCCTATATTATTCAGTAAGAACATAATCTTTATCAAATGTGGACTTAATGTCAGCTGAAACATTTTAAACAGGTCCTAAAAGTGTTCTGAAAAATTACCCTGATAGCTAATCAAATATAATACAGACTGCGCAGCATGCCTCAGAGATACTGTGGGTTCAGTTTTAACGCCTCTGCAATAAAGTGAATATTGCAATAAAACGAGCCACACAAACTTTTTGGTTTCCCAATACAGTAAATGGTGAGCTTACATTTACATTACACTGTACTCTATTAAGTGTACAATAGTTTTGTTTATTAAAAAAAAAGTACATACCTTAACTTAAAAACATTGCTGAAAAGTACTAAGCATCATCTGAGCCTTCAGCAAGTCATAACCTTTTTCCTGGTGGAGAATCTTGCTTAGATGTTAATGGCCGCTGACTGATCTGGGGGGTTGTTTACTAAAGATTGGGTGGCTGCAGCAATTTCTTAAAGTAAGACCAAAAAATGGAGTTCTCCATATCAACTGACTCTTCAAGAATTATATTTCTGTAGTAGGGAGTGGCAGGGAGTGCTATTTGATGGCTTTTTACCCACAGAAGACCATCATTCAAAACTGAAGTTAATCCTTCAAACCCTGCCTTGGCTTCGTCAACTAAGCGTATGTAATATTCTCAACTTTTTGTTGTCATTTCAACAATCAAGCTTGCCACCTTATATGAGATGGTCTGTGGCACCACCAAATAATTATAAGAGTAACAGCAAAGATCACTGATCACAGATTACCAAAACAAACAGTGGAAAGTTTCAAAATATTGAGAGAATTACCAAAATGTGTCACAGAGATAGGATGAGCAAATGCAGTTGGACAAATTTGTGCCGACAGACTTGTTTGACCCAGGGTTGCCACAAATATTCAGTTTGTAAACAATACAAGATCTACAAAGCACAATAAAGTGAGCTATGCCTACATTTACATTTTAGAAAAGAAGGCGGCACTCTATCACAGCAATAGTTATTGGTTCACAGCCATACCCCTTCATTTATGTATTGTCTGGGGCTGATATTCCACTGTATTATCAGAGTTGAGTAGTGGTGTGTGTGCATACATGTTAAGAATTTCAGTCATGTCCACCTCTTTGCAAACCTTTGGGCTGTAGCTCACCAGGCTCCTCTGTCCATGAGATTCTCAAGAATACTGAAATAAGTTGCCATGCCCTCCTCCAGCGGATCTTCCCAACCCATCGGTCAAGCCTCTTATCCGTCTCCTGCTTTGGCAGGTGGGCAGCCCGGTTGAGGACGTACTAGAGATCAAGTGGTCCATAGAGCCTCAGTATTTACCCTCTAGCACTTTACAGAAAAAATTTGCCTCCTGTTTTGAAATAACTTTATTGTGCTATTTAAAAGGCACCACATGTTTTTAAATGCATTTTCTTAATTTTTAAAAACTACTGCATTTGTCAAAAAGTTTGTGTGAGTTTTTCCATAAGATATTACAGAAAAATCTGAATAAGGTTTTTGGCCAACCCAATAATGCAATTCATTGCTCTTCACTGTACTTTACAGTCTCAATTCCTCTCAGAGACATTAATCACAGCTATGATTTTTTTTAATCTGCTTTAAAAAACTGTTGTGAATCTGTTTTATTTATTCAAATGCATGCTTCATAATTATTTCAGTGTTTTCTGAAGTAGATAAAGTAGATTAATCTAGACAGAAGAGTGCTGCTACCACTGATACTGACACATGATGCTTTAAGTAAAAGAAAAGTGATAAATGCAACTACTAAAGTAATTTTAATATTTTCCCCCTTTAGACAGCATAAAGTATGTTTCTTCATTAAAGCTGTTTGTGCCAATGTATTATCTTGCTTTTAACATTTTTCACAGTATCAAAATCTGAACAGTTCTTTCTGAATAATTTTACTGGAATAAATATTTGATTTACTTTGCACATTACTCATGTGCTTTCTCTCTGCATTTCAGTATGTGCACTTCAATAATTAAAATTTACAATTCCAATAGTCACAAAAATTAGTTTGTTAAAAGTTTTATACTCTGACTAAATAGGAAAGTATCTTTAATATAATACTACATAATAGATAACTTTAGTAATGACATATTCAACATTTACCATAAATCAAATCTCTGAATACTGATTCAAGTACACTACTGAAAAAATGCTTATATTCATATTAAGATTTAGATTTTTAATTTTTAACTTCAAATTATTGTGCAAAAATTTCAACTCTTCATTATGGCTTGTCTTTTTAAAAGATTATTCTCATAATAAAATTTTGAAACTGTGAAAACCTCACTTTGCATTAATCTTAATAATTAGTATTAGAATACTCTTTTGCTCCACATTTTTAAATTAACGCTCTCAGCTGACAAGTAACAAAGCTTATGCCACACGAATAACCGATAGTAAGCATTCTACTTGGTCAGCTAGAAGCCATCAGCTTGGGTGACCCAGATAACATGGCACGTGGCAGGTTCCAGTCCTTGGCTTGTAAGTTCTGTGTCTCTAATGTAAACTCTGGATTTTAAGGACTATCACGAAAGAATTAGAGCCATTTGTACTGTGTGCATAATTCCTCCCATCGTCACTGTCTCTTCCCAAGGATGAGTGAGGAAAGAAGGAAGCCAGACTCTTTCCTTTCGATTTATTTGTCGTTGGAGGATAATTGCTTCTCAGCCCTGTGCTGCTGTCTAGCATCCATTAACGTGACTCAGCCACAAGCATCCTCTCCCCTTAAACTTCCTCCCCTCTCTCGCCCCATTCCACCCCGCTAGGTGGTGACAGAGCCCAGGGCTGAGTGCCATGCGTCATGCAGCAAACTCCCACTGGCTGGCTGTTTTCCATATGGTAATGCGTAGGTTCCAATGCTACTGTCTTTATTCATCCCACCCTCTTCTCACCACACCACGTCCACAAGCCTGTGTGCTATGTCTGTGTCCTCATTGCTGGTCATCAGTACCATAGGTTCATCAGGACGATTTTTCTCAATTCCATATCTATATACATATATATGTGTGTGTTAATATACAATGTTTGTTTTACTCCTTCTGACTTGCTTCACTCTGTATAATAGGCTCTAGGTTTATCCACTTCAGCAGAACTAACTCAGACGCATTCCTCTTTTATGGCTGAGTAATATTCCACTGTATTTATGAACTACAACTTCTTTATCCATTCATCTGTTGATGGACTTCTAGATTGCTTCCATGTCCTAGCTATTATAAACAGTGCTGCAATGAACATTTGGGTATATGTATCTTTTTCAATTATGATTTCCTCAGAGCATATGCCCAGTATTGGAATTGTTGGGTCAGGAACAAGATAAGGGTGCCACTCTTGCCACTATTATTCAACATAGTTTTGGAAGTCCTAACCACAGCAATCAGAGAAAAGAAAGAAATTTAAAAAAAAAAATCCAGATTGGAAAAGAAGAAACAAAGCTCTCACTGCTTGCAGAAGGCATGGTACTGATAGAGAACCCTAAAGATGTCACCAGAAAATTAGTAGAGCTAATTAATGAATATAGTAAAGTCACAGGATATAAAACTAACACACAGAAATTGCTTGCATTCCTTTACAATAACAAAGAAAAATCAGAAAGACATATTAAGAAAACAGTCCCATTCACTACTGTGACAAAAGAATAAAATACCCAGGAATAACCTACTTAAAAGGACAAAAGACCTGTATGCAGAAAACTACAAGGCACTGGGGAAAGAAATCAAAATGACACAAACAGACGGAGAAACATACCATGTTTCTGGGTTGGAAGAATCAATATTGTGAAAATGACTATACTATCTAAAGCAATCTACAGATACAATGCAACTTCTATCAAACTGCCTATGGTATTTTTCACAGATCTAGAACAAAAATTTTCACAATTTGCATGTAGGTATGAAAAAAACCCAAAAACCCTGAATAGTAAAGGTAATCTTGAGAAAGAAAACCAGAGTTGAAATAATCAAGCTTCCTGACTTCAGACTTTACTATAAAGCTACAATCATCAAGATAGTATGATACTGATACAAAGACAGAAATATAAACCAATGGAACAAGCTAGAAAGCCCAGAGATAAGCCCATGCACCTGCTGGCACTTTATCTTTGACAAAGGTAGCAGGAATACACA